AAGGAATTTGTACATCTTTATAGATAAGGAGCCAGCATCTGATGATTTTCTGGCTACTTCAACAACATTCACTCAATTTAGACTACGCAAAACAATAAATGAAATAGTAAAGGAGAATGAAAGTCAAGAGGTGAATGAAACTCAAAAGGAAATAATCAAGGCAGTGGACAAATCAATTGCCGAAATGAAAGAATCAATAATGGCTGAAGTGAACAAATCAATGGCTGAAATGAAAGAATCAATAAAATTGAAAAATCAAGATATATTGGATGAAGTTGTGTGTGAAAAAGGTAGCAAATAAATAATAATGGTAATTTAACATTAGTTTTCATTTAGAAATGACTATTGTTCTGGGTGACTTCGTCACTAACAGTATATACATGTATTTATTTATTATATGTGTGTGTGTGTATATATATATATATAACAAATTTACAAATAAAAATTTATGATATTGTTATTTAATAAAAATCTAGCCTAACCATATTCCTGATACAAATATTAATATATTAATATCTATATCCGATATTCGTAATAAAAAAGATCCAATTTTCATAAAATTCTCATAATATTTTATTTTGTAATCGCGTTATTTAAGGAGAAATTGAAGGATTCGTTAATAGTGTGGTTCCATATTAATATTGCACGATTTTTTTTTTCTTTATTCTATAAAATCAAAGAAATAAATTACAGTTATTCACTAATTTCATTAATTTCATATTTTATTATTTTATTTTTTAAAACTAACTGATCAAATAATGCAACTCAAAACTTTAGATTGGACTTTGCTCATTTGTAAAGAACAATTTACTTATTATTTGCTAAGAAATAAATAAATTCAATTATTGATAATTAATTAAATTTTTTTTACAAACCTACCCGTTTCTTTTCTTGTTACTGTTTCCATCCGAGGAATAATTAAAAAGCACAAACCATTCTTATATTGATCATTCTTTCAATTTCCTGGAAAAAAATTTATTTTCTCTTTTATTTTCAATATTGATATTATTTTACAAAAACGACAAAGTGAATGCTTCAGAGTTATCACAAAACCCTCTCTCTCTTTCATCAAAAAAATAAATTTTATTTCATAAATTAATTAATTAAAGAAAAGGAAAAAAGCTGGTGAAAAGAACCAGGTGTATTTTTGATTGTTTTGTTCCTAATTATTGTGTATACTGCGCAAGTTACATATAAACCCATGTTTACGATTGAAAATATCTTTATACTCTTCAAATCATCATAAGCAAAAGAAACCACCAGCGGAATCACCCAAGTGACTGTGTTGTATAACAAGTCATCTAGTAATGGCAGCAGCACATTCTTGATGTGCCCAGATTCCCCTTTCACAATGAACAGGACGACCAAAAATACTGGAAAGAGCGTGTTGATAATTGCATCGTACACGTCCTGTTCAGGTTCATAATTTTCGTCAACAATTGACGCGGTTACAAGTGTAATGAATGAAAATAAAGTCAATAAACTTGATTTTACTTTCTTGCTTTGGTTGAATAGAAATCCTTTGTTCATATCAAATAATGGATAAAGTTCTCTCATAGACTTATTTTATTGGTATTTATAGGCAATGTATTTGTGATTCGACCAATCAATTAGTATATTAATATATTAATAACTCCGGAATTGGAAAACTATTTTCTTTTCTGGAGTAAACAAAAATTATTTTATTTATTGGGATAAAAAAGGCTGTACAATCATTATGCATTTTAGTGTTTTTGTTAAGGGAACAATATACTAAAAAAAAATAAAAAAGTTTTCCTGAAAATGATCAATATGAGAATGTTTGGTGCTTTTTAATTATTTCTCAGTAACAAAAAAAGTGTCTGAATAAAACAAGAAAAAAAAACGGGTAGGTTTATAGAAAAATTTAAATTGATTAAAAATCAAAAAGTGGAAGAAGTGTCGTCAATTCTGAAGGCACACTTTCCCAAAAAGAAAATAATTCTATATTATCTTGTCGACAACGTAACTCAAAATTAAATTGGACTTTATGCAAATTTACTTGCTATTGTATTGGACATATTGTATGACTATTATTATTATACAACAAGCGAATTTTGATTCATTGGGGTAAAAAGGGCTATATACAATCACTTTGTAAAATAATACCAAGGGAATACAATATACTGAAAAAGTATTATTTTTTTTTTTTCTAGAATGATCAATATATGGGAATGGTGCTTTTCAATTATTTGTTAGGCAAGAAAAACAAATTTCTCCAACGGGTTTTTGATTTAAATTAAAATCAAAAATAGTATTATTTATTTTTAGACAATT